AAACGTCTCGTGACGTACTTAATATTCAAAAGAAACGTCTATTCCATAGTAGGATTTACAACTGCACTAGCCGGCTAGCTCATATGAAAGCTGCAATCGATAGCTTTCTCAGCAAACAAGATTGTTATTTCACATATATCAGTTAAATGTTCTTAAATATATATATAAAGAGGAGTAAGAGGTGCTAAAACTGCTTAGATGAGCACAATAATCTCCCAAACTAAAGCTGTGGGTCTAGCTGTCAAACTCAGGACTGCTGTAAACATCAGTCGTTTTTATTTACCTGCGCTCTCCATCTTCCGCCTCCACGGATATTTCCATCTCCACCCCAGGAAACGGCTTGATTTGGAGTTTAGGTCCGATTTAAGCACAGAAAGTCTCCGGACAGGTAGTAGGTGTTTCCACTGGGCGTCCCGCACCATAACAAGATAGGCGGATGTGACGTCGGATAAGGAAAAGCTCTGACCGGATGAGCATTCTTGAAATAGCGGAAGCAGATCATCTTTTCAAAATAAAAGTGAAATGGAGGATTTAATGGATTAAAGGCATATGCACTATCTTGGTACATTTGAATGTCTATGTTAGGGTTCCTCATTTATGAACCCTTCGTGGTTCAGCTTCCTGCAGAACTATTTTGATAAGCCTTTGAATATAATATAATAAAAATAATGGCTATTTGAGAAATTACCCATATATTGTGTGTAACCTCACCTCAGTAAATGTAACGTTTAACACCAGCAAAAATGTTTACTAACAATTGAAAATAACTAAATATGACTTGATATAAATAAACGGACCAGTGAAATTTCCATCTAAACTAATACAATATTCTTCTGGAAGCCATATTTTATCTCCAGTAAAGAGAAAACAAGAAATAAACCAAACTTTAAAAACGAATTTGATAGTGCCTCGTGTTGACCACACGGTGGCGCTGTTCAACAATATTTTCTAAATGGTGTTAGGCGTGTAGATGTCAGTAAGTTCAGAACTACTACATGAGATATCCCGCGAGTCATGTCAAGCTGACACATGATAATCAAGACAGTTTAAGGCTCTTTGCATTGACAGTTAGAGCCAAGGGCAGGATATTTCCATTTCGCTTTTGAAGGTCAAATTTATGTTAGGATTGTGCAAGCTATGCAACCAGTCACTACATCAAAATATAATATAATGTATTAATATATAATATAATATAATATAATATAATATAATATAATATAATATAATATAATATAATATAATAGTAGTCAACATTTGAAGTGTATCAAAACCTTTCATCAAAGTTATACATGAATTTTGAACAATACCCGTTCTTGTCTAAGGACAATTTTGATTAACTTGTTTTTGATCCACTTCAAATGTTGACTACTGTATAATAATTGACTCCGGTCAGTTGAATTATTCTCTAATAATTCAACTGGGGTGGTTATGTGGTCACGACGCCTCGGGTCGGGTGTGCATTATTTCCTAATAATTCAACGAACCGCAGTCAATTATTCCGCTTATACTACGGTTACCACACCTCAAAACATTGTTCGGGTCTATTTTCAAGAAATTGGTCAGGTTTTGTCCTTTAAACGCTCTTGTGTGTGGGACTAATTCCCGTACTGTTTCTGTACAACGTGACGTCACCATCTACTGGCCAGGCATGAATAATACCGTGTTTTTAGTTGTTTTCGCAGATCCGTGTGAACGGGATCGTTTTGACATCGCTGTCTCTGAATGCGAAAATCGCAAACGAAAAACTTTTCTATTTTTAAAACATAGTTGACGGTAAGAGTACCCCGAGGGGCTGTTTACACAACACTTTTTTCAACTAAAAACTGATAACTTTTTATGCGTTTTGGCTGTTCATTTACACGACAACAGGTTTTTGGCGGCCTGAAAAGGCAAACATTTTGAAAACGGGTTTCAAAGTGCAAGTTTTTGAAAACTATACCGTTATCGTCTCCATGTAAACTACAAAAACATGAATTTGTGAAAACGGTGACGTCATGTACATGTGTATTACCTGTTCGCTTAGTGTTTCTTTACAAAGTGACGTCGCCAACTACTGACATGCCATGAATACTACAGCGCTTTTAAGTCGTTTTCACGGATCCCTGTGAACGGGATCGTTTTGACAACGTTAAGAAAAAACTTCCCGTTTTTAGTTCATCGCTGTCGTGTAAACATACCTTAAAATTCATTCAAGTTCGTGATGCGTTGTGTGAACCTCTTCTTCTTGTTCTGTACTTTTCATTTATCATTTAACCCTCTGGGCTTCTTTGTTTAGGGGTTACACTTGGCTTCCTTTCGGTCAAAAAAGACCGAAGCCTTAAAATGTAACTTTTTTCCCCCCCAGGAAAACCATTCAAATATATTTTTGTTCAATAATATTTTCTTATTATTATTTAGAATTTTTAAAGATTTTTATGATACTTTGCATTAATTATATAATTTTTACGAGCTATTTTTTCCATTAGAATTTGTTTTATTTTTTTATTATTATAATAATAAAAAAAAAAAAATCCAAAAACTCAACGTGGCACATTAAAATATAATGCTGGCAGCAGGCAAAAAAAAAATCAAGTGAGAATACCGCCATCCAGTGGCTTTAAAAATGTTTTAAAGTGTGTAATGCCCGTAACCGCCTGTAGGCTGCCCATAGCTGCCTATGTAAATAGATAGAAATGCTTTTTGATTCCTATTGCTGTTTTAGACATGATTTCTCTTTCTTATTCGTTTTTTTTTATTTAGATATATATTTAGATATGCTAAAAGACTACTTTTTTTATTTTTTTATTTTTTGTTTAGATAAGTAAAAATGTATAAATGTGTGTAATGTCCGTAACCGCCTGTAGGCTTCCTATCTAAAACATAGAAAGGCTTTTTGATTCATATTGTTGTTTTAGACATGATGAGGTGTGTGTGTGTGTGCATTTGAGCAAGAAAGAGTAGCCTATCTTTTGTACTTTATTTTAAATTTTGATTTTATTTAGCATTTTCTCAACATTTGCTGTTACAGTCTTTCCTATTCATTTCTCTGTGTGTGTGTGTGTGTTTGTGTGCGTGGGTGTGTGTGTGTGGGGGGGGGGAGGTGTCTTATTTGCACTCTTGATGTTTTAGAGTGTCACCCCTTCATTGCTGTACACTTTTTTTCTGCACAGTGGCTGATCAGTAGTTTGTACCACCAAAAGTTTCTCTGAGTTTTCCTATTTTTTCGTATTTCCCATTCATTTCCTATGTCGGTCATTTTTGACCGAAAGGAAGCTAAGTGTGACTATTTTTTTTAAGACCCTTTAACATATCCGAATCATCTCCTTGATTTTTTTGTGTGTTCACATAGGTAATACAACAAAAGTCACCAAGTTTCATCCCCCTCCGATGAAGCAAAAAAATTAAACATTTCAAAACGTATACTGTTTCGGTCATTTTTGACCGAAGAAGCCCAGAGGGTTTTTAAAACAATATAATTCTTTGTGTGTGTGTGTGTGTGTGAAACTCATCTTTAAAAAGTTAGCAATTCATGCCAGTTAATATACAGTACATATTAAAACCAAAGTCTAACATGCAGGACAAACATTCTTCCAAGTAAATTCTTTAGTGGTTGGCTTGTAAAGGTAGGTGTGTGTGTGTGTGTGTGTGTGTGTTGCACAAGAATATTAGAAAACATTTAAAATGGTCTAGTTCTCAATGGAACAGTAATTTATTTCTGACAGAAAACTAAACGTTTCAAAACAGCACATTACAAGGGTTTCTTAAGATATTCTCAAAGGCTCAGTGATCAAGTACAATACATTTTGCTTGTATACTACATTTCCTTCAACCAAAAAAGAAAACCAAGCAAACCTAACAAAAAAAAATAAAAAATTCAGACCAATGTACATTGATTGTACAATATTTCTGTTTGGCTCAAACTGGGCAACAAAAATAAAATAAGAAATAAACCAGATCGCTGCATCAATAGTGCAAGAGGCACAAAAGACATAAACAAAGGACTTATAGCTAAATGACATCTGTGAACTGCAAACACTTTTGCAGCTTTTATTTATGATGACTTATTCTTTGAAAGAATAAGAGTAAACTACACCTGGGAATATAAATCGTAATTTATTTTGTACATTTTCTGCGATGTAATGAACATTTGTCTGTGTATCGAGTTGTACAACACCATGTGAATGAGAACAGATGGCTCAAATTTGTTTGTTTTGCGCGTTGCAGGGACTTTTCACTTTCCAAGAGACCAAACATCGTTCACAGACTGCTTAAGTTATTGTAATGAGGAAGAGAAAAAAAAAAGCATGAGGTAAGAAAATGGTCTGATAGATCGTGTGCAGAACATGCTAATCAGCAACAAAGGATCGTTTGACGTGACAAAGTAAAAAAAGAAAAATGCGAGCGAGAAAATGTGCGAAGCAAAACGAATTTACACAGCTTTTCTTCTTTGGTTACAAATATGATCAAATTCACAGCTTCTTCCCCCCCATCCCATCCATCCCAGATTTGGAAATAAAGAACGTTTCAGAATTTAAGTACTCAGGGAAAGTATATAATAAAATCCAACAGAAAAAACACTTGATAACTGATGCTCACCTGTACAACTGGCTATCCTTATAATACTTTACAATCTATACACATGTACATTCAAACCCCCAAAACCAATTCACCTGTACAGGACTTGTGCATCAGCGACGTTGTTGAATCACCTTTAGTGTTGGAACTGTGCCATGGGGACATTATTGCCTAAAACTTATTATCTTACATTTCAGAAACCCAAAGAAAGTTTCTATATATATCTATATAGATATATATATATAGATATAATAGACCTCTGTTACATTGTTCAATTTACATTATGAAAATAGCAGCCCTCTAATAAATATATGCAAACAGTAAAACTAACCAGACGAAAGGACTTAATCATGCACACCGGCTCTGGAAAACACACCGATCTCCCAAGCTTTTCCATGCTAGTTACCCTCCATTTCCATTGTTAGCTTCCAGCTAAATCTCCACTTTCCCAATCGCCTGCACCAAACGGCAATCTTAAGAGCCAAACCAAATTTGCTTCTCCCAAAATGATTGTCTAATACTGGGAAAGCCAAGCAGCGAGGATAGTCGAAGCATGGCTCTCCGCAAGTGGCAAACGAAAATCTCCTTTGCAGGTTTTTGTTTAGTTTTTCTGCGAGTCTCCGGAGCCCCGCGTTCGAGGTCTTCACGCCGTGGACACGTTGGGCTGTGGGGGCAAGGCCACGAGCTCGGCTCCTTCCTGCAGGAGTGCGTTGGCTGGCGTCTGTTGGGGAGACGTGCTCCCGGGGATGTTGTTCTGGGAGGTGAGCTGGGTCAACTGCTCCGTGTTGGCCAGGGACTTTAATACTGCGTTCTCCCTCTCCAGAAGCGAGTTCCTCTCGTAGAGCTCCTTGATCTGCTCCTTCAGGACCTCCACTTCCTCGCGCACCGCGTACATTAGATGGCTTTTCACAAGGTCCTGGAGAGAAGAGCAGGGCCGCGGTTAGATACACGTTTCGGGGGCGAGCGCTTAGAAATGGGCTCTTTGTATTCGCAATGGTTTCTTATGTATTTAATCAGCTTTTATGCCATTCACCCAAAAAATTAAAATGATCCCATAATTTCCTGTATTGGACTTTCAGCTTTCAGACGAACATAATCAGAGTTATATTAAAAAATATCCCATCTATTCCTAGCTTTATAATGGGAGTGAATAGTGCACATAAAAGTGCATCCATCCATCATAAAAGTAATCCATACGCATTATATGGATGATTATAGTTTATAAAGTTGTAAATATGGGTTTAATTCTCACACAAACGCATGGCTGCGCGTCAGAAGGCCTTTATTAACCCCTGGAGGCGTATGGATCACTTTTATGATGGATGGATGTGCTTTTATGGGCTTCAAAATCTCACGTACCATTCACTCCCATTATAAAGCTTGGAAGAGACGGGATATTTTTTAATAACTAGAGTGAGTAAATGAGATAATTTTCATTTTTGGGTGAACTAACCATTTAACTGCTTTAAAAATGTCATTTGGTGCAACAAACAAGTTGTTTTTTTTTTTTTTTAAGTATAGATTACATATGTCACGAATAATTAATAGCTAAATATCATTATATTTTGGGGAGTTGCATCACATGACCTTACAACCTGAACTAACCTTGTCATAAAAACGTCAAATCATCTGAGATTTATTGAACTTGACGCATGAAGGTCTTCAGGGGATCATAAATGATAATTTCCTGACAAGTATTCTCTGTATGTTGGTCACACCACATAACTTCGCTTTTGCTTACAACATTTTTTTAAATATCAATAAGCAGTGAAGCATTTTCATTCAAGTATTTAATTTAAATAAATAGTGATCAAAGATTACTCCAAACTACTTCAATGAAATCACCTATGACCTTGACATTTCTTTCCTTTTTGCCTCAAGTAAAATAACAAAAATATATATTTGTAAAGAAAGAACTAAAATACTCACCATAGCTTGCTCTATTTTGTTATCAATGGCCACAACACTGGCACCAGAGGCACTGCAGGACAAAAACAAAAGACAATGCTTTAGAAAAAAAATGTATTTGGTGATCTCTAAGTCCCGTCGGGCACGTTACGGTTACACCACATCAGTTTAATCACACTTCTGACGACCTGCCAACTATTCATGTGCATCACCTCAGAACCGTAAATCCAGATGACATGTCCTCGTTGTGCTCATAAAACCATACATTCAGTGCTACAAGATAAACATCAGGCGTGCACACACACTTTCATAACCTGTCATCGCTATACTCCATTACCCATTAAGAAACATATTCAGAATTTGAGCATAAATAATAAAGTTATGAAGGTGTGATAATATTGCATGGTGCAAGAATTGTAAAAAAAAAATATATATATTGCTTTCAAGCTAAATTAAGTCCACCTCAGGGACCTTGAAAGCAATATTTTTTTATTTTTTTTTACAATTCTTGCACCATGAAAATCGTTTTTAAAATGTATATGTTGTGTTTTTAATATGCTTTAAGACAAACCATGTGCAAATTGATGTGTCGACAGCATTGCTGAGTGTTTTCTCCTTAAAACTGCAGTGGAAAAAAGACACGGTTTGAAATCGCTGGTGTTTCTGACTGGTGTCATCGACTGTATAATTCCCTCTTCCACTGCTTTTGGTGCCGCTGTGCAGCGTTTACTACGGTAAAGTGGATCTGGCATTCTGAGCTGGTGTGTGTGTGTGTGTGTGTGAGTGGAGGCGTTTAGTTTGCATATTCATGGTTACTCCTTTACTAAATGAAGCACGGGTTTAGAGTTACATTCAAGCTATTTCAAGGCATGAATAATTTTTTCCACGTTTAAATGTGTCACTTTGGTGATCAAAGATTAAATTATTGACTACAGAGAGACTTTAATTTAACTGATGTTGTCTGATTTACCATATCTGGCACCATATTTATAAATGCATGTAAAATGACACGTTTAGGTTGGCAAAACCATTAGTAACCAATATAAAAGAGTAACCGGATAAAACAAAAATAATAATAATCACGCTTCAATGTTGTTAGTAGCGGTTCACAGACACGTGTTCTTGCTTACAATCGACACAATAACTTTATCAATGAAGACGCGCGTCACATCGACATCATATTGTGTCATGAGCATTGCGTTAAAACTGTCCAACTTTATCAGACACATTTCGAGTTGTTTTTCTTTGTTGCGATGGTCCAGCTGGCCTCGAGTGAGATCTAGCGCACATTCAAAACCATCAAGGCTTTAATATAAACGAGCGATAAATAAATATAAACGTGCTGCATACGTGTTTTAGTATAAGCGTGCAACCGGCACTTTTCATACAAGGCTTTAGATGTGCAACTAGTTCGCGCTGTACGTGACATTCCCCAAAAAACCCAACATGAACTAATCTAATATAATAATCATATTACAGAGATACACCTCTCACAATTGTGTTCTTTTACATAGACACACAACAAATAAAAATGTGTATTTTCGTAAAAAAGCCACCCGAAGCAAAAGCACATCAGGCGACAAATCAATAACTCAGAGTCTGTCTATAGAAAACATTGCGCGATTTAATTCCGTTATGAAATCATAACATTTACCTGCATCGTGCCCTGTATGATGTTAGTCTGGCGGAGTATGTGGGAGAGGATCCGGGCGAGTACGGAAGACAATAGCTCATCTTGCAGCGCATGTTAGTGAGCGGTTAGTCTCAGATGCAGAAGTGTGTGTAGAAGTGAAGGCGCTCGTCGGGGTTTAAGGAATCTGTGTCTCGAGGGGGCGTGGCTTCGGGGAGGGGCGGAGTCACACGTCGACAGCATGTTCCACACGCTTCGGTGTTTGTGAAACGGAGGCGCGCATGCGCAGCAGCGTCGCTTCAGTTTATGCCTGAACTCGGTCCTCTCTATCCTGCCTTCTTCATCGTGTTATTAAACAACATGTATATTGCACACAAACCATACAGATGACTTTTCAATGCATTTTAAGTAAACACATCTTACACATGAAGATTTATGGGGGGAAAAGAAAAATCTTTTATTTTCGATATATGTGCTTAAATAGGTTTACAAAGGAAAAGTAGATCTGTAGTTACTATTTATACAGATGGTTAACATGCACAAACCTGAAATCCACTTCAGTTTGGTTAAAGGTGAATAAACAGCATTCCTTGAATCTTAAACTCGTAACAGAATATAAACAGACACAAAAGGGTCATTTTCCTGGGATTCGATGCTTTTTGTGTCCCCAGTAAAGATCATGATCTTACTGCCTTAAAATGTTGAACAATTTCAATGTTAACACTGTCTTAGTCATAAATAACACCTTATGAACTCTACGCATATTGAAGTTGATTAAAAACACGAGACATATAACAGCATTTTGAACCACCGCATATCAGCATTTTTCCTCTGTCCCCCTGTTATTTTTGACTACTTTCTCTATGAATTAAAGTTAAAAAAATTAAATGGCACTATATCAAAAAGCTGTTATCACTTCTTAGGAAGGAAATCAACTTGGGCGAGTGAGATCCTCAATCATTTTAACGGTCTATTTCTACCAACTTTATCTTTCAATTTTGATGTGGTCAACCTTAGTACCTCCACCCTGTTAAAGGAAATATGAAAAAAGTTAGTAGAAAAATGAAAGTGAATTTATGTTTAAAGTTGAAGAAGTGCATTTAAAGTTCTTTGTCAAAGTTTTACATATTGTAACTACAAAATAAAGTATAATTGTAACTGGTTGTCCATGAGCGATAAGAAATCATCCATCCATCCTTTATACCACTTGTCCACCCTGTTAAGCCGGGGGGGTTTTATTATTATTATTACAATAATTGCATTAAATCGTCACAAAAAACACTAATAATTCAGTAACAATGAAAATTTACAAGAGTATCAATATTTGTATTACTTTAAAAAGTAAACAGAAAATGCCTTTTATTTGTATCTTTTTCTAACAGGGTGGACATATTTGTTTAATAAATGGTAAAATATATGTACCCGAGCTTGACTAGAATATTTTTTCGAGTGCTTTACGACACCCTATCCTGACAACACAAACATTTTTTTTTTTTTTTTTTTGGTTTTCTACATTTTATGATGTCCAAATGGCACCGAATACCAGGAATGACCCCAAAAAAACATGGAATATATAAAAATGCCATTGATAAATGGAATGTTTTTCAATCAAATGTATCTGTGTGGTGCATTCAAGGAGGAGGACCACGAGAAGTCACCCGTCTCCAATTTAATTTAGTGTACTCGGTGCTCCTAAAAACAAGCTGAAGACATTTCTGGTACACAACATGCTTTCCAGGACTTATCCTGGTGTTACTCCGACAGTAACGGCACACTGGACCGCAGGCACGCTAACCCAAACATGCCGCATCAAGTGCCTTAAACTTTCCCAATCCGTGGCGCAAATAAAGCCAACACGTTCCTTCAGGCAGTAAACTCTCTGAAATGAAAATGTGCTGTCAAGTATATATTAGTCTACAAGAATCCTCCATTAAATGGCTGATGGTGATTAGAGCCATTCATGTGCAAATCCTAATTTCATGAATGCATTAGCATTAAAAAGCAGGAACATCGCTTCTGCTCTTAAGGCAACAAGGTGTGAAAGCTGCAATTAACCCCACATGGATCCAGTCGCCTCCAGTGGCCACTGCGTCTTTGACCCCCCGCGTGTTGCCAAGAAGACTGGCCTTGTGTGTGCCAGTCTACATATACACCAACCGACTCTATAAACCGAGTTGTTTACCCAAATACGACCTTTTGGAAAGACTCTCCGGATTGCACACAGTTCTGGGGACACCGTTTCCACAAGATCCAGAGGTCTACTTTCTAGGAAACTAATCAGATAAAACAATCATGACCCAATCTCACTGAATGTGCGCTAGTTGTTGCCAGAAAATGCAGTGGCTTAACTTGGAAGTCATCAAACTGACGCCGAAGAGTGAGACAACTTTGGAAACGAAAACCCACAGACAAAAATGGGGACGAATAACATAAAAAAAAAGTAACCAAGAGAAAAGACAAACTTTCTGTCACTCTTGCTTAGTAAAACTAATTTTTTTAAATAATTATAATATATTATTATTGCATATATTTGATTAAATATACAATTAATACATTTCATTTGTACAGAACTATTTTCATAGGCACCACCACAAAAATGTTATTTTAATGTGTGTAAATTGTGTAATATGCGTGTAAATAAAAATGGAAAATTATAGACCAGAAATATAATGACAAAAATGAATGTATGTGTGACACAAAAAGGCTGTTTATTACTTTGGCCGGTAAAGAAATATGCTTGTCTGGTGAGTTTTCTCATCTACCAGTCCCCGTGGCAGGTGAGCCAAAAAGGTAATTCGGACCCTGACTTTGTTTGCTGAATTCGTTAGTATGAATGAGCATAAAATAGCTGCAAGTCGTGGGATCGTGTAGTTCTTGCAACATCAGTTGACATAACATCTGGTTACCTCGTTCTACACCGCATGGTTTATGAGTGTGATGTAGTGGATTATATCTACATGTTGCATCGTGACAAACAACAACAAAAAAACTTGAATTCCAGTCCGTTCCAGCTAACTTCCTCCAGTATAGATGACTACACTGGGGAAATTCAGTTCTGGAGAAAAGACTCTGGAATTAGTAATGCAAAACAAACATGGAAATATGTGGAGAGGAACATGTACAACAAATTCTTCTGAACTCACAGGGAATTCATATTAAAAAGATATATATTTCCATCTCAAGTCCAAACTTGTTTTTTAAAATTGTTTCCTCATGATGAAGTTGGTTGGTGTTTTAATGCCAATTTTCATGGAGATTAACAAGTTGAAATACTACAGAAGAGCAATTTAAAAATGTATATAAGGTATGAAACCTTTGCTTTGGATTCAGGGTTGACGCTGTTCCTTAAAAAGTGTTTGCTAAACAATATTTGCTAATAGAACTTAAACCAACACAATTTAAAAGTATATGTTTAAGAGATCCAGCTCCTCACGATGGGTTAC